GCAGGCTGAACTAGTGCAGCGAGTTCAGTGAACTGACCTCTAGGTCTGGAGGCAGAGCAAGCAATGCAGGGCAGCTAACCAAAAAAATTTAAATTTGTATCTATAACCTGTAAAATCGGTATACCTAGTTGACATTACGTAGAAGAAATAATCCGACGACGGAATCTATAAACAGTAAGTAAATACTTAAATATATAATAAATATATAATGTAGATAAATATATAATAAATATATAATGTAGAATGACATAAAAGAAGTATTTAGAATGTTATCCAAACAACACAAAATATCCGAAAGACATCCTGGGAAGGCTCTTGGACCTTTTTTCGGAGGGATTTGTTGTATGGGTATCCAACACAAAACAGTTTTTAAAAGAAATAGGATTGTTCAACAAAACATAAAATGCTATAAGTGCGAAAACATGACCATAAATTGATCTATGTTATTTAATCCAGCCATGTTGTCCGCCATCTTACACTGCTCTAACTTGCTCTTACCCGTTCTTTTCAAACCCATATGTATCTTTGCACTGGTCTGCACTATCTTGAACTTTCTTCAACTAGTACAGTTCCAGTGCAGCCCTAGGTCAGGTCGAAAGAACAAACCTAAGGTTTCGCGCGACCACTTCGGATTACCTTGACGCTTCCACTGCGGTGGACGTCTCTCTTCGCGACTTCTCCCGTATTGAATATACCGGGTATTAGCGCCAACAGAACTTATTACGGTTGAACTCACGACTCCGCGCGAGTCGTCGTTGTACTCAGGAACTCTGCCCAGGACTTAGCCGCTGCCAGGGACGCAGCACATCACGCGAGCCACGCTCGCCTTCACGTCCGCTTAGGACTTAGCTGCTGACAGGGACGCAGCATATACACGCGAGCCAAGCTCGCCTTCACGTCCGCACAGGACTTAGACGCTGCCAGAGACGCGGCATATACATACGACATACGCTCGCCTTCACTTAGTCGCTGCCTGGGCCGCAGCACTTACGCGAACCACGTTCGCTTCTTCACCGACACTGAAGCTATACCCGTCGCATACGCGACTCCACGCGCGAGTTACACTCGCGCCTAAGACCCCGCGAGACTTAGTCTACGTCGCCCGCGTGACGTTACGATTCTCATTACTCTGGATCTTCCGACAAGGAGGACTTCTCCTAGCACGGAGGCGCTGGGAAGCGGTGCATCCCCGCAGGGCCGCCGCTTCGATTGATCTAGCTCGCTTTATTTGAGTCGGCGACCCACCACACATGGAGACGAAGACTCTCGTCTCCGAAGAACCTCGCGAATCGCTTGCACCCCACGTCATCTCACGGGGCCTCTGGATAGCGGACTGCCAGCGACGAAGCCCGCGGTCTCCACGAAGCGAGCGGACACCTATCCGCATCTCGCACAACGAACCGGCCGCTCTCCACCCTCGAGCTGTTCGAAACAACATGTAAATAACATAAGCATTCCTGGAAGTTTTAAAATTTCACAGGTTTTTAGAAAATTTCAGAACTTCTTTATTATATATTAAGTTGACGCGTCCCGAACTTTTTCCTGAAAATAGTTGCAACAGGTCACAAGAGCCCAAATGAGAATAAAGGGACGTCTACATTGGAAGTAAATAGCAAGAAGTAGGAAGTAAGAGTAAGAAATTGACCAACCACAGTTGAATGTGAGAAAAATAATTAACTATGATTGGTCAATTTCTTATTCTTACTTCCTGCTTCTTACTGCTTCCAATGTAGACGTCCCTTAAGTGAGAATAATGCCGCAGGTAACGTTTGGGCGAACTAAAAACGGTAAGTAATTTCTTCGAACTTAGGTGTTTCCAGATGCCCTCATACTTGTATGTATATTTTTATGTATATTTATAGAGAATTGTGTCGACGGAAATAAACAATATCGGAAAATCTAATTTCTATTAAATATTTTAATTTAATTTCAGATCTTTAGATTCTTATCGCAACTAGAGACGTATCATATGATCAGTAGTATTTATGCATATCATAGCTTAATATCTACGAGTATTTAAGGGAATTGGATGCAACTTGTATTACTTGTAAAAAGGAATCCTGGAGAAGACATTCAACATAGTTGAATGAATATATCTATCAAAAGGGAAAATTTAATCCTGTCTGTAATCGATTGTATTAAAGATGGGAGCAAGTGTACAAATGTATGCTTCATATTTTTACCTTCATATCTCTCACAAGCATTTTGGTTTTGTACGATGTATTGGCATTATAAATGATATGATCAAACTTCTTTGTCGTTTCCACAAAATATATATTTTTTTCCAACTGTCAACAATATTGTTCATTTTATCGTATACAGCATATTTCAATTTCGTACTAGCTAATTTTCTAATGTTTCTTCTAGAAAATATTAAAACTATTACATTTATATTTTTCAATGTGGCATACTCTCTCTCTTTCTTTGACTTGCACCAAAAATTTGACGTATAACATTCGTACGTAGTATTCTTGCACATGTGTTTGTCTCTACCTGCTGAAACAATTGGAAGCTCGCTGTCATGTAAGCGTTTCTTCGAAATGTTTCGGTGAATCCTTGATATAGTTATTTGAATCAAATCGAATGCACAGACTTAACAAAATTGAAACATTGCGTACCCGCAAGTTTTCACATTTTCTTGTGTACCAAGGGTGAGTTGTGTGCGTAAATAATTTTTATAAATCAAACCTCTATTAAAATTTTGTTTTAATTTATCATTATGTATATTTGTACACTTAATTAATACATGTGCCGTCGTAATCATTGCACCGTATAACACTTTGGTATTGTCAGTGTAAAAATTACTACTCTATAAAATAAATATTTTATTAAGTTTCTTTAAAAAATAATAAATTTATAGGGTAAAAAGTATGAAAGTACAGCTACTGCGAGATTTCTGCTTTATTTGTCAACCTCAGATCGTCATATATATTAATATAAAATTCGTCATATATATCCTCCTTTGTAATGTTCATACTTATGGCCCAAATAATCGATGTGTCCGTATCCACTGTTATCACATGTTCCGAGCACGGTAGAGCTTTTGCCTCTTCTAATTCAGTTACAGATACATTCGCTGAAATATGAGAAAACAAACATTAGAATAAAAGGAATTGTACTTATTATATCTTAATATTGTTGCGCCCGCGTTTTCGGGGACAGGGATCGTTTCGAGAGTTATTTGTGGAAAGCGAGGTCAAGTTCTGACGAATCCTGGAAAACTAAATTCATTCCTCACGAGCTCTCGGGGCGAGCTGACATTCGAAAAGTCGGGCCGTAAGATTTAAAAAAATTCGCTTGTTTAGGCTAGAGTTTGTAAATAACTCAATTAAATGATTATTTATTTTCTTAAGAACGTGTGCTTTATTTGCCTACTCCCAGATATGATTGCGCGAGCAAGCGCAATAATATAATGAAAAATGTATTATTAATGAGTAGCTTAAAGATGGGACAAATTAAAAGTGTGATACATACTGAAATTGGAAATTGGTTGACAGGTTCGCAAACCGGTTGTTGTGAGATTATTGACTACGCACGAATTAAATGGTAGAAAACTGCATGTGCTCTCTTCGTTGATATTCTGTACACGTATTTTGTGCAAACCTCGCCGTAACATCCAGCAGAAATAATAGTTTGAAACTATTACAATCTGTAAAAAAAGAAGATTCTCATGATCATTCAACATAGTTAGGTAGTATCTATTAAATGTATTTATTAAACAGAAAATTCAATATCTAATTTTAATTAATTTTGTTAAATATTAAATTTAGATCAATATAGGAATGTATGATTACCTCTACATTGCGTATATTTCCGTCGCTTACACGTAACGTCTCTTTGATTTGGACGGCATCAAAATCTGTTTCCGATTCCGCAAATACGTACATGTCTCTTAACTGTTAACAGAATTGTTCATTTTATAGTACACCATATTTCAAGTTTGTAATATACAAAAACACAGCAATATCTATATTTTGTGACCGTTTCTCCGTTGGTTAGACGCGAGAATACGACCAAAACTTCGTCTCCGCCGTTGCGGCGACGGCCGAGCCTGCCGGCAGCTCTCAAAATTTATCTCTCGGTAGAGCGGCGGGGTTCTTGTGTCGACGCGCGACCTTACTTCGCGCGACACGAGAGGAACAGGTGACAGAGTCGGAGGAATCACAAAAGCACACACGTACGATTTAACATTCCGCTATATTTACAAAAAAAAAACAACAAAGAAGGATATTACAAAGACGCTATGCGGGCTCTGAGACACGTAATCGCGAAATCATTCGGCAGCCGGATCCATAGTCGAGGATCCTTCTGCCTCGCGGAGTTCGAGCGACACGCGACTCGCGATATTCTCTCGATACCCGTTAATTATTGCGTAGGGCGCCAGCCGAGTGCATCTCGGCCCTAATTATCTCGTCGCGAACCGCGTATTTATCGCCGCTCTCGGGAACCCGCACTTTCTAACAACGATCTCGAATCATTACAATATATACGCTCTCAATCGCCGGACTGTGCGGTCGCGAACGCGGTGAAGCGGCCGCCGGCAGCGCGGTAAGGGCGGCTATTCCCTCGCGAGGTCAAACGGGTCGTCGCGGGCGGTGACGAACCCTTCCGGCAGCCGTCGGGAAGCGACGGCAACCATTCCGTTCTTTCCCAGCTCGGCTGAACGACAAAGATAGGACAGCTCACCAATAATCCCAGCTGGGCTCGCCTCTCCTCTCCGCTCTCTCGCTTGTCCGCTCGTTCGCTCGCTTGCGGGCTCGTTCGCTCGCTGGTCGTTCGTCGCTAGCTTGCCCGTGAGATTTT